AGACGTTAATTTTCTTTGACCCATCAAAATGAACATGGTCATTTATTTTCAGAATCAAAATTTAACATCACACATTTACATTAATTTGGCAAAATTGAAAATAACAACAGGTTAATTAATCAGTTTACAATTAGAAGACCATACGGCGATGGTTGAAAACCTTGCTTCACAACAGACATTTCTGAAAATATCTGGAATGATTTCTAGCAAAAAGAAGAGTTTAAAGATGGAAAATGAAGTTTATCTTGAGAGAGATGGGTGAGGGAATTTGTCTGTTATAACCAGAACAACACGCTCCTTCTGGGCCCAGCTTAACCAACGGTACACTTTGCGGTTGAAGATCGACTCTTTACCTTGGCAGAGATAATTCCAACTTCGGTGTAGAGTTGCCTTCAAACGCTATCCAGCGTCTCCGTAAGGATAGTAGGGAACCGTTCGGAGTCGTGAGATCATCCAGAACAGACTTCATAGTTCCTCTGAACTTCTCTTGTTCAGCTTAGTCGCAGATGTCCTGAGCATTCTGAACTCTGCTGCTCTCGGAACCAACTCACAGCATTCTCTCAGCGTTCTCCTCAGCGTTCTTCCCAGAACTGCCGAGAACTTCTCAGAACTTCTGAGTTTCAGAACTACCGTGAACTAGGAAGTGTTGCACCTTTTAAAAGAGGTCACTTCCGGTTCATTTGAGACCTTTCTGATTGGTCGGTGGACCAACAGAGGTGTGTTTTTGTGATGTAAGAGGTTATTAAAAGTCAAGGAAAAAAGATTCAATTGTTTAAGAACAGACAGAAGATTGCTATGAAGATTCCAGACTTCGTGGAGTCAACTCTCTCATATCTGCCTGAAAAAGTTAAACATGACATTTCTTTTTAAGTAAACTTGCAGTTGACCGAAACTTGACCTTTGACCAACTTACACAACTTGCTCATTTCAGACAGAAAATCAGACAATGCATCATTAACCTGATTTCTACTTTGAATGAGGATAAAAATCACTAATACTGTTTCACAGCGGATTTAAAAATGATTAGTTCACTTCAACATTTAAAAATGGTTTGAACTAAACACACTTTGATTATCAAAACATTTGTAAAATAGTAATGATAATAGAAAAAGAGAGTGTTCTTTCAATTGATCAGTGCAGGACACTTAGAAAGTCTCTGGATGAACTTAATCTTGTGTTTCTGGACTCAAATCAATGAAATACAGTTCTTGTTCCAGGAAGGCCCTCAAGGCCAGATTTTGACCTGAGGCTTAGTTCACTACACTTTCCCAGAAAGGCTGATAAATGTTAGCCCTCAAACCACCATCACTCCGCAGGTGCTGTCCTTGTCCACCATAACAGCCCACAACTTCCAGAGCCTTCAGCATCTCAGCATTAACCTTGTTCATCACTGGTGTCCTGCCAGCTGAGATCTTTTGAAGCACCACGGTAACCTTTACTTTGTAAAAGTCTTGTCTGCCCTCGAGTCGTCTGACTTTACTGCTCCTCAAACCTTTGAGGGTGCATAGTTCACTTTCAATATGTTAGGGTCCATTTAAATGTTTTTGTGTACACCCCCCCCCAAAAAAAGGGGGGGGGGGGTTCTGAGTTCTATAATTTATTTTGTAATGTTTGTCACCTAAATGTGTCATATGTTTATTACAATTTTACATGAATTATCTGAAATAATAATAATAAATACATGGCAACAAAACAAAACTGTAATGAATGCATGCGCAATAATCCAGGTAGATAAATCTAACAAGGTTGAGTCAGGTCCTCTGGATGGATTGCTTTTGTTGAAATGTTTCATCTTTTATCCAAAACACTTCTTCAGTCTGAGGAGCTGCAATAAACTGACTTATAAGCACCTTCTCATGGTGGATCAACCCAAGAAGATCTACAAATGGACTGTACTTATATAGCGCCTTTCTATCTTATTTCAAGATACTCAAAGCGCTTTACACTACAATCTGTGTCCTCATTTACCCATTCATACAACACTCTACTAGATCTCTACAAAGCTAATTGAACAAATCCTTCTAATGAGACTAATCAGTGCTTTATCACATTCATTCACCGATGGGACACACATCAGAGGCAACGAGGGGTTCAGTGTCTTGCCCAGGGACACTTCGACATGTGACTGCTGGTGGATTCGAACCCCCAACTCTCGCATTTTAGGACGACTGCTCTAACCACTCAGCCACAGCCGCCCCTACCTCCTTTATCATGTGAACAGCTAGTTCTGGATATTATCATCAAACTGGTTGATCCACTATGAGAAGATGCTGCTTGTGTCAGTTAGTTGCAGTTCCTCAGACTGAGGAAGTCTGTTGGATAAAAGATGAAACGTTTCAACAAGAAGAATCCATCCAGAGGACCTGACTCCACCTTGTATGATGTAATTAATATTGACAAGTTGCAACAAAAAGTATTTCAGTTAAACAGAACAATTTGTTTTATAGTGATTTATTCATGTAACGTAAAATAAAAACTTTTAGATTTGCTTTTGACCTCTTTGGATTTATTTTTATAATCACAGGATCCATTTGTTCCACTTTGCCATGAAAATGTGTTTTCCTCAGATTACTAGCAGCTAGTGGGCAGGTTATAACCAGTCCTAATCTAATCTCTGTGGTAAGATCTCCAAACAACATCCTTTATCTCATTGGTGTAGTCTACATTTTTGCAATGGTTATACTGTGTTTCGAAACAATGGTGTGCTCTATCTACATTTTTGTACTGTGCTTGGAAATGTTATGTTATCTACAAGACATATCATGTGCATTAGATTATATTACTACCTTGAAATACTTATTCATACAAATTCATCCTGCTTGCACCGTTAAAATTCTACAATGTTGTTTACTATTTCTTCTTTAGGACCTTGTAAGTATTATAATTACTTTTTCACTTTTTGGTACTTTATTTTTGTACCCTTATTGCATTTCCTTATTTTTTGTTCTTTGGTTGTTTTTTTTTAGCGAGTCAAATCAGTTCTTCTCATCCTGAGCATTTCATTGTACTGTTAACCCTGTGTTAACCTGCATGTGACAAATAAACACAACTTGAACTATTAAACACTTTGTACAAAATCAGTTTAGTCCCATCCAGACATCTAGCACTACTGTTTGCTAACACTTGGCATGATCAAAACAGCTACAAGTCGTAGGATTAGTTTACTTACCGCCTTTGACGTCGTACGACCGTAAACTTCTTTGATAAATCCACAACGCCAAATATTATTCCTTGGTATGTGATAAAATATGCAGTATAAAGCTTAGAAAAACTAGAAGCCAAGGATCCAAAGAAGTTCAATCTGGTCCTCTGGACATTCAAAAAAACAAAAGCAAAACAAAGCAAAAAAAAAAATAGAAATGTTTTGTCTCTCATCCAAGAGACTTCCTCAGTCTGAGGTGCTGTTTTCAGCTCAGTCTCTTAAATAGCACCTTCTTAGAGTGGATCAACCAGTTTGATGCTGACAACCAAAACCAGCTGATCACATGCTCAAGAAGGACCATCAGCCTAACAATGATACCCCCTCAACATACGGAATGAGGGGGTATCAGAGAAACTGAGACGTTTATTTTCTAAACATAATGTCCCAGTGGCTTTTAAACTCCAAAATACATTACGGCAAAGACTGGTTCATCCCAAAGATCCAGTCCCCCGGCACAAACAGAGTAATGTTGTGTATGCTGTTCTGTGTCAGGAGGGCTGTGATCAGTCTTACATCGGGGAAACTAAACAGCCACTGGCCAAAAGGATGGCCCAGCACAGAAGATCAACATCATCAGGCCAGGATTCTGCGGTCTACACTCATCTCCAGGCCAGCGGTCACTCTTTCAAGGATGAAGATGTTCACATCCTGGACAGAGAGGAACGATGGTTTGAGAGAGAAGTAAAGGAGGCCATCTTTGTGAAAAGAAATCGTCCATCATTAAACAGGGGTGGAGGCCTCCGGGTTCAACTGTCCCCCTCTTACAATGCTGTGATTGCTAGTATCACTCAGCCCTCTGTGAGTAGTAAACAGCCATCAGTGTGCTAATGACCCATTGTTAGGCTGATGGTCCTTCTTGAGCATGTGATCAGCTGGTTTTGGTTGTCAGCAGCAAACTGGTTGATCCACTCTAAGAAGGTGCTATTTAAGAGACTGAGCTGAAAACAGCACCTCAGACTGAGGAAGTCTCTTGGATGAGAGACGAAACGTTTCTATATATTTTTTTGCTTTGTTTTGCTTTTGTTTTGTTGAATGTCCAGAGGACCAGATTGAACTTTTTTGGATTTTTCTACCTGGATTATTGAGCATGCATCAAGATAGAAGCCAAGGAGGTTGCTTGTAGCTACTTAGCTTCTTCGCACGTCAGCGCCAAAACTCCAGAAGGAGCTGATTGACTGGAATGAAAGTTCATCTGTGACTTCATTGGTTTAATCTTTTACCTCTTCGTAAACTTTCGTTGTCGCTACTCAAATCATGTGACACAGGTCTGTTTGACCGGTGGTGGAGGTGGGGGGGTCCTTCCTCCACTCTGCACTCAAATCATGCTGCATACAGACAGATTGTAGAGACCGCTGCTCTCAGGCTGACAGATCATTATAACAGTTTATTATAAGGCGAGAGATAACCAGTTATTTTGCTTGGACATTTGCCCAGTTGCCACCAACTGCACAGCATGAAGGGAACGTTACGTATCAATGGGCATTTTTAATTGGTTATGCGGAAATTCCCAAGCATTGTTTGTGATTATATGTCATATACTCTCGTATCACGTAAACTACAGCACGGGTTTATCTGATGAGTGAGTGGCCTTGACAGCAAAGAGGCTGTGTGAAGTTTCTCAGAGGACCTAATTCTCAGTAAAACTTTGAATAACCACAGACTTCCAAGACTTGCTAAAGGCGGTGTTGTTTTACAGCTGCTCCTTTCTTCAGATGTGGTCGCCACAGCAAGTGAACTTCCATGAAAGATTGACTATTGTTACGCTGGATGTCCTTCGTTTTTTCATTTTTGTGTTCAGGTGTTCACGCTGCCAAAGGTGAGCTCCAAGATGAAGCTGAAGCTGACGGCTGTGGATGGCTCCAGGGTTCGGAGGGTGGGGGTAGCCTGGTTTGGCAGCAACCGTAACGAAGACTACAGCGAGAGCGGTCTGGTCTTTCTGACCAATCAGGGTGACGTGCACGTGGTGTCGCTGCCACATGTGAAGATGCAGGTTCAGTACCCATGTATCCGGCGGGAGGACGTGAGCGGAATCGCCTCGTGTGTCTTCACTAAGCATGGCCAGGGTAAACAGGCTGCAGTGTGTTCTCTGCTCTGACTTTCCTTACACTGCTCACTGCTGTCCCATTGTCCTCCACCAGGATTCTATCTGATCTCACCATCGGAGTTTGAACGCTTCTCCCTGTCCACACGCTTCTTGGTGGAGCCTCGCTGTCTGGTGGAGGCGCCGCATCATTTAGGCACATCTAACCAGCATCGTGCAGAACATGATGGATCTACATCTGCCCACAGGTACACATCTGCTTATTGATTCCTGCTACAGAAAGCCAGTGAGACCTATTCTCCACACAAACAGAAGAGCGCACCAGCACAATATACTGTACGAAGGAAAACAAGCAGCTCAGCTGCAGCGTGTGGATGAATACTTTGAAAGGTGTTTTGGGTTCCCATGGTACGGCAATTCATCAGAAACAAAACATAATTTAATAGAATGAAGCTCCTTCAAATTCTCTTGAAACTTTCTGTTCTTTGAAACATCTCATGAAGCACTGGATGGAATTTAATGAAATTATCAAAAAGTAATCAACCCAACTAAAGGTGGCCACTACAGCTGCAGTGGTGTTTGAAAGTTTGTGAACTCTTTATAATTTTCTATATTTCTGCATCAATGTGACCTAAAACATCATCAGATTTCCACAAGTTCTAAAAATAGATAAAGAGAACCCAGTTAAACAAATGAGACAAAATATTAAACTTGATCATTTATTTATTGAGGAATTCAATATTACGTATTTGTGATGGTAAAAGTATGTGAACCTCTAGGATTATCAGTTAATCTGAAGGTGAAAGAGTCAGGTGTTTCCAATCAGTGGATGATGATCAGGTGTGAGTGGACACCCTGTTTGATTTAAAGAACAGGTTCTATCAAAGTCTGCTCTTCATAACATGTTGGTGGAAGTGGATCATGGAGGAACAAAGGAGATTTCTGAGGAGCTCAGAAAAAGAGTTGTTGATGCTCATCAGGCTGGAGAAGGTTACAAAACATCTGTAAAGAGTTTGGACTCCACCAATCCACAGTCACACAGATTGTGAACAAATCGAGGAAGTTCACGACCATTGTTAGCCTCCCCAGGAGTGGTGGACCAACAAACATCACTCCCCAGGTGTGGAATAGTCTGTGAGGTCACAGAGGACCTCAGGGTAACTTCTAACAACTGAAGGTCTCTCTCACATTGACTAATGTTGATGTTCATGAGTCCACCATCAGGAGAACTCTGACCAACAATGGTTCATGGCAGGTTGAAGGAGAAACGCACTGCTCTCCAAAAACAACATGGCTGCTCGTCTGCAGTTTGATAAAGATCACGTGGACAGAAGACTGTTGGAAGAATGTTTTGTGGACGGATGAGACCAAAATAAACATTTTGGTTTAAATGAAAAGAGTTATGTTTGGAGAAAGAAAACTGCATTCCTGCAGAAGAACCTGATCCCATCTGTGAAACATGGTGGAGGTAGTATCATGGTTTGGGCCTTTTTTGCTGCATCTGGAACAGGACGACTTGTCATCATTGATGGAACAATGAATTCTGAATTATATAGGAGAATTCTAAAGGAAGATGTTAGAACATCTGTCCATGAACTGGATCTAAGAGAAGGTGGGTCATGCATCAACACAATGACCCTAAACACACAAGTGGTTCTACCAAAGAATATTCAAGAAGAATAAAGTTCATGTTTTGGAATGGACAAGTCAAATTTCTGACCTTAATCTAATCCAGATGTTGTGGAAGGACCTGAAGCAGCAGTTAATGTGAGTAAGCCACCAACATCCAGAGTTGAGGCTGTTCTGTACAGAAGAATGGAGAAAAGTCCTCCAAGATGGTGAGCAGGACTGATCAGTAGTTACCAAAAACATTGAGTTGGGTTCCGGTTTCAACTGAATGGCAGCATAAGAAGAGCACTCCTCCTTAAAGATTTTAATAAAACTCCTGCAACCTATTCTAACTACTCACAGACCTTATTGCAAGACAGCAAGCGCAGGACAGGATGGAAACAAGAGAAAGAAGCAAGAAAAATGCTCCAGATACGTCTGACGGTGATGACGAACCACAGCACATGGATAGCTATGCTAACACTAAAGACGGGCCCGGAAAATCAAAAGGTAACGAAAAACCCAAAGTTAATCTCGAAATTATCCTTCGTGAAATACAAGAATTTAGACAAGAAAACAAACAACACCTAAATGTTTTGAGAGAGGACATTGACAAAGCGAACCAACGAATTAAGGAAGCCGAAGAGCGCATCGTGGCTGCGGAAGCGAAGCTAGACACGGTCGAGCTAGCAGTGAGAAACATGCTAAAAACACTGATTCAAAACGAAGACAAGCTGGCTGACCAAGAAGCAAGAGCAAGGAGAAAGAATATACGGATTTTCAATGTACCAGAGAACATAGAACAAGGCAAATGGATGATTGAACATGTGGAAAAACTCCTTCGAGAAAAACTGAGCCTTCCTGACTCCTACGAACTCAGCATAGAAAGGGCGCATAGAGCTCTAGCGCCGAAACCAACGGGAGCAGCAAAGCCAAGATCCATCGTAGTACAATTCCTGCAGTACCGTACAAAGGAGGAAATACTGAGAAAAGCATGGGAGAAGAAGGAAATCTACGTCAACAACCAGAGGATATACTTCGACTATGACTACCCTACCACAATTTTAAATTGCCGCAAAGAATACAATGAAGCGAAACGGGTGCTGAGGGAGAAGAAGACCCGTTTCCAGACTCCATACCCAGCAAAGCTCCGCATCTTCTACAAGGATGAAACACGCCTATTCCAAACTGCCCACGAAGCTACAAAGGACATGAATGACCGAGGATTTGCAGTCCAGGTGATCCCATCGCGTCAAGACCTGATGAAGATGCTGGAGGGGGAACCATGGCGCATCGCCGGGAGAGAAAGGAGTGTCCAGCGGGAGCAGCCCACCGGACAAGCTGGCGCTATATCCAGATTGCAGGCTTTCAAAAGACAGCCCCCAGAATGAAAGAGCAACGAAAACACCTTTGTGTAAACATATTCTCTGTTTCCTCACATTTCAGCAGTTATCAGGAGGACCAGGACCTTTAAAAGGTTTGGACACTTATTCTAGGTTGTCATGGAGGGCCCTTCCTCTATTACCATCTGTTAAGGACTTCCCTCCAAGTTCTGACCCCAACCCAGGTCAGGTAAAGGACAATCCACCTTTACATTGGAACCCCAGGACTCATTTTCAGATGTGTTCTGTATTTGTTCTTCACCGTTCTTGTGACATGTTAAGCTTACCCAGAGAGCTTAGTAGCAAAAATGTTATTAAAACTACTTATTACTCAAGAAAATGTTATCTGAAAGGTTAAAAGTGGCATCCTTTAATGTTAATGGCATAATAAATCCAATTAAACAAACACGAATACTGACAAAAGTGAAGAGGGAAAAGATAGACATAATTTACCTACAAGAAACGCATATAAATGACATAGAGCATCAAAAACTAACCAAATATGGAAACACTAAATCATACTACTCCTCATACAAGGGAAAACATAAAAGAGGGGTGGCAATATTGATATCAAGTAAAGTGATTTTTGAACATAGTTTTGAAATCAAAGATGAAGAGGGCCGATATATATTAGTCAGAGGAAATATAAATGGAGAGACATATACTTTACTCAATGTTTACGCCCCACCTGGAAGTGATGTCTTGTTTTTTACTAAAATAATAGACCTGATTATCCTGATGCATGCTCAATAATCCAGGTAGAAAAATCTAAAAAAGTTAAATCTGGTCCTCTAAACATTCAAAAAAACAAAGCAAAACAACAAAAAAAATGTAGAAACGTTTCGTCTCTCATCCGATAGACTTCCTCAGTCTGAGGTGCTGTATTCAGCTCAGTCTCTTAAATAGCATCTTCTCAGAGTGGATCAACCAGTTTTGCTGCTGACAACCAAAACCAGCTGATCACATGCTCAAGAAGGACCATAAGCCTAACAATGGATCATTAGCACACTGATGGCTGTTAACTATTCACAGAGGGCTGAGTGATACTAGCGATCACAGCATTGTAAGAGGGGGACAATTGAACATTGAGCATTGAGCATGCATCAGGATATTTTGAACCTCTTTGGCCAGGATTGCCTCAAACTAGTTAGAGAGTTTGAGAAAACAGCAAGGAAGAGGGCAGACTACAGGAACCATTTGCGATTCAACCTCAGATGTTGACAAAGTGGCATCATTCCCAAGAGCCTGGAACTAAAATGTTCGTTCAGCGGGCACCGAGCAAGCAAGATCCTTCAGAAGGCACAAACCCAGCTGCTGAATGAGCGGGTGAAATGGACCAATTTTACTATTGAGGCCTTGAAGGCCAAGGAAGAGTGCATTAAACAAAAACTAACATCATGCCTAGATCGGACCACACTTCAGCAAGTGGACTGTACAGATCAGGCACGCTTAGCATAGCATGTCAAGTCCAAGACTCGACAACAAAACAAGTTCAACGTACTAATAGCTCATCAACACCATCACTATTCCAATAACAACACATTCAGTGTAGGACAACACTCCAGTAGTCAATTACATGCCAGGGAGACAGAAAAGTGGGTGAATAATTTATCTGACAGACAGCTCACCCAGCCGGAGACAGAGATTCTTGCCAGGGGACTGAACTTTGCGGTTGCACCAAGTAGAATTCCTCTGGTGGAGATGATCACAGCTACTGAGTCAGCCATCCGCAACAACAAAATTAAAGAGGCTGAAGCAGAACAGCTCAGAATCAAAGTTTCAGCCTGCCTCAGCAATGCCAAACCACCACCTTCCAACATCAGTAGAGAGGAGAGGGACGCACTCACCACTCTTAGCAAGGACAAAAACATCATCATTTTCCCAGCAGACAAAGGAAGGTGCACAGTGATTTTGAACCAGAAAGACTATCATGAGAAAGTTATGACACTCCTTAGTGACCACTTATGAACCTCTGAAAAGAGATCCAGGAAGTGGTTACAAGAAGAAATGGATAGATTGCCTGAAAATTTTGGAGCAGGACAAGGCTATTGACTGTTTTCTGTACCACAGACTGTACCCAGGGGAGGCCACACCTAGTCTGTATGGTTTACCTAAAATCCACAAACAAGGTTTACCTTTAAGACCAATTGTTAGCATGATTAACTCTGTCACTTATAATGTTTCCAAATATCTGGCTTCTGTACTCATCCCTTTAGTTGGCAGCTCAGAACACCACATACAGAACACCATGGACTTTGTGGATAAGGTGAGGGATGTCATCATGGAGACTGATGAAACAATGGTTTATTTTGATGTCACATCACTCTTTACGTGCATTCCTGTTGATGATGCAGTAGAGGTGGTCAGTTTAAAATTAAAATCAGACACCACTCTGAGCAGCAGGACCACTCTTTCCACAGAACAACTGTGTCAACTCTTGAAACTGTGCCTGAAATCAACCTACTTCACATATGGGGAGCAATATTATAGGCAGAAACATGGGTGTGCTATGGGGTCTCCAGTTTCTCCTATTGTTGCCAACCTGTACATGGAGGAGGTAGAAAAGAGAGCCTTGACGTCCTTTTCAGGGACACCAAGTCATTGGTTCAGGTATGTTGACGACACCTGGGTTAAAATTAAATCTCAGGAAGTCCAACATTTTACTGACCACATCAACTCTGTGGATAAATACATCAAGTTCACACAAGAAGCTGTAAAAAATGGCAAGTTGGCTTTCTTGGACTGTGAGGTCTCAGTCTCTGATAGAGGACATTTGCAAACCGAGGTGTACCGCAAACCCACCCACACAGACCAGTATTTGCAGTTTGACTCCCATCACCCTTTGGAGCACAAGTTAGGGGTCATCAGGACTCTGTATCATAGAACAGACAGCATCCCCACTAACTCGGGAGCCAGGCAGAAGGAGAAATCCTACACAAAACAGGCTCTAGAGCAATGTGGATATCCTAACTGGGCCTTCCTGAAAGCAGAGAAGAAACCCAAACAGGACTCCAGTCAGCCATCAGGTGAAAAGGAGGAACCCAGACCCAGACCAGTGGTCATTCCCTATGTTGAGGGAGTATCAGAGAAACTGAGACGTTTATTTTCTAAACATAACGTCCCAATAGCTTTTAAACCCCAAAATACATTACGGCAAAGACTGGTTCATCCCAAAGATCCAGTCCCCCGGCACAAACAGAGTAATATTGTGTATGCTGTTCAGTGTCAGGAGGGCTGTGATCAGTCTTACATCGGGGAAACCAAACAGCCACTGGCCAAAAGGATGGCCCAGCACAGAAGATCAACATAATCAGGCCAGGATTCTGCGGTCTATACTCATCTCCAGGCCAGCGGTCACTCTTTCAAGGATGAAGATGTTCACATCCTGGACAGAGAGGAACGATGGTTTGAGAGAGG